AGAATGAGGATCAATCCATCAAAATCAAGAAGCATCTCAATAAGCAAAGGTGAGATCAGACCATAGGTTCTGCATTAATGGAAAACCCATTCCAACAGTGTCTAAGAACCCAACATAAAGCCTTATATGATGTTACGATGCTAAGATGCAAGCCTTGAAGACTGCGAGCAGGTCCAGCAACTGAAGCAGGATGTCAACAGAGGTCTTAAGAACATCGACCAGTCCCTGCTTCCTGGCAAGCTAAAGCTCTGGTGTTTACAGTTTAGCCTTTTACCCAGACTGATGTGGCCACTTACAGTAGCTGACGTTCCTGTCACAAAAGTTGAGAACATGGAGAGAATGATCAACTCCTCGGCCTGTATCGTTGATTACAAGCCCAAAACACCTGCCGGTGGCCACTAACACCTACTGGTAGTTGGTAACCTCAATTGTGCAGAAGACCTTCAAACGTACAAGGGATATTCAACATCTCTATATTCTCAATTAAAATAAAGTTACTAACATAATATAATGTTTTATACTCATTTGTGTAGGGTGCTTATTTAGTTGTTAAGTGTAGGCTACTATATACTACTATGTATATTTCCTTTTTCTTATAGTATTTCTTCAAGTATTTGTGTGCCATTTCAAATTATTACCGTAATCTTTTTTTATTGTATTTTTAATTATTTTTTGTATTTTATGATAGGAGTGGGTAGGTTTTTAGTTTTATTTAAATTAATTTATTATGAATCTATTTGTCTATCTATCACTTCAGTCTATACATTTCCACATTTTATATATATTAGATGTGCTATCTATTCTCACAAACATATTTCTTTATACTGATGACGCCATGCTACAGTAAGGGACGTCTGAATGCATTGATATTTTGCCCACATCCGATTCCTAATGACGGATGGTGCTCCCCGGGCTCACAACAGGTTTTGTGATGCAGAGCCAAACACATTAGCGCGGTGTGACAGCACCACACATATCCTTTCTCCTCTTTGCTGATTGGCTTTGATGCCAAATTCTTCGCTGCGTGTTCTCGGGAACATGCTGTGTCTGTGTTCACACCGGTCCCCAGTGACAGGGAGTAGTCTGAATACCCCTTTTGACTATAATCGTAAAAGGCCCTTCTGTAGAAAGTCTGACAAGACAAAAATATGGCTGCCGATTGGCTGGTGGATAATTGTGACCTTCAGATATCTCACTCACTGAATTATTGCCATTCTGTTCTAGAAACACATCTATGAGGTTAATTAGTTTCATTCACATCCTCTTTTCTTTTTTTTCCCCTTCCAATTTGCCACAATGTGTCGCTGAGGATAGTGAAGTGAGGTCTTCTACACTGGCCCTGAGACAAAATTGACATGTGCACAGACAAAGATTTTTTTTTTTAATTGGTCTGGAAATTTTTCCACTACATTATTCATGATTGCCAGCAGGACACTAATATGGTTCTGTCTGGATTAGATTCAGCCACAGCTTTCTAATGTCTTCCGCCTCTCCTAACACTCTCTCCGTCACCTGGACTCAAGGGGAGGTGATGTTTTTCTGCACAAACTGTGTTCCTGTAATTTATAAGTAAAGATATACATATATATTTGTTCTTTGTTTCTTTCTTCCTCAACCCTTTAACTTTCAATATTTTTTTACATAAACACTACGGTCAACCTTGGGTTTGTTGCTATGAAATGTGTTACACATTGAAAACTACTTGAAAACTACTTTAACTTCTGTTCTGCTGTGTATTGCCATTTTTTAGCATTGTTTTGAAACTGCACTACATAGATTTTGAGTATTTATCAAAGTATAACAAGAATATGATTTGCTGTGAGATCACAGTGTGGTTTATTGTATTTATCTTAACCTGTGCAGTTTTAAACCTGCCTGTTTGGCCTGTGGTGATGCTGGTTGCAGCTTTTCTTTCTGAGACTGTAAAAATGAAGTGCAGTATAAATGAGCTGCAGCAGGACTCAGTCCACAGAACCTTGAAGCTGCTCCACTGATCCTGCAAAAAGAGCTGTTCACCTGTTTATTGAAAGTTTGGTGAAGTTCCACTCAGTACGCAGAACCCCGAACTGGAGAATCACTTGTCGTTGCCATTGTCATGAACGCATTCGTTCAGTTTTTGTTTTGGACAATCTCACTTGGGATGATGAACCACAGCAGCCACTGCTACAGAGCCTTGGTCTCTGTTTGTCAAAGTTAATTAATAGTATCAAGTATCCAATCGCCCCAAATTGACACTGCACTTTCGTGGGCCCTTAACAATACGCATACCAAGTATGAAGCCGATAAGATGTCAGACAGACATTGTGTAGCTGGGATAGAGTGGCTCGTCCACTATCAATCCCAGTTCCCCCCTGTTTTGTGTGTGCCGAATTGTCCTTGGGCAAGATACTAAACCTCAATTTGCCCCTGACTGTTCCGGCATTGTGTGAGTGATGTGTTTAGTTTTATTCCAACAATGTGTGTGTGAATTGGTGAACTGCACTGTGAAGAGCTTCAAGTTAGAAAGGCTCTAAATAAACACAGACCATTTACCATTCTTTCTGAAATGAGTAGATTCAGTAGATGACTCCTTGGACTGTTTCAGGGAAAACATCTTCAGCATTATTTTATTAAAAAGTCAACTTCACAAAAGCATAAACATGTTGTGCCAGTGCCTCAGTCAGCACCCACCAACTTGTAAGAGTATACACCAAAAACACTTTCAAGTCAGAAACATTCCCCTGCCCACATGCAGGTCAATAAATAAATATAGAACAAGGTTTGAATTAATGGCATGTGGGATGTAAGGTACTGCAGAAACTCTCACACACACACACACACACACACAAGCAGTAGAGATTACCACAACAATTTCAAGGACAATTCTTAAAATACAAGCATTCATTCAAAAACAAATCCATCGATTTTTTCAATCCATCCTCTCCTGACGAGCTCAAGGCCTTTTTTTCCAGTTCCGTTGATTTCCCCTCAAATTGAAGGAGCGTGTTGCCAACTGCTGGCCCAGCTGGGACATCTCGTGTGTGGGAGGAGACGCTGTTGGTTTCACATGTGCACTCGACACTTCAGACCACCTTATCGCAACTTCAACAGCTGCAGTCATAACAGGGATCAGTGGCCCCACGGAAACTCATTCATCTCATCATGATATTCTCAGATCCGATGTTTTTCTGCCCACGTCTCTTGTTATTGAGGCCAAACTAGAATGACAGAGAATTGTGTAAGTGTGTAAGAGTAAATAATATGGCTGATAAACAAGTGAAGGCAGTGTCAATAGCACAGTAGCTGGGACAATATCATTCAGAATAAATCAGTCCAACTCTTCATAGCATTTTCAATTGATCTAAGTCTCAAATATGAGAGGTCCAGGAGACAGTTTTAATAACTGTGATCATTTACACCAATGGATACTCAAGATTCACGGAGTGGATCATAAGGAGGACTTATTTATGATACTATAATACCAGCTGTGTGTGTGCTTACATACATTTGTTCAGCAGCCTTTTGAATACTAGTGAGTGGGGGTGAAAACATTAGACAAAGAAAACGTGTCATAATGAAGTTTTTATTGGCGGCAAGTTTTTTTTTTTACTACTCTTTATGTGCCTTTTATTTGTTTATGTTTTTAATTTTGGCAAAAGTTTGATTTTTTTGCTTCGATCAAAGTGTTTTAAATGTTTTGAAACAGCATCATGACATCAGCTCTCTGGGATGTCGAGTTCAAGGTCAAGGTATTTGTATGCCTCAGCCTCTGTGATTTGATTATGGGACATGTGCTGTGTTGTAACAGCAATCATCTGCAGCATTTCAACTCCAGAGAGCCAATCTGAGGTCAAGTAGGTTTTTCTTCGAGGATTTCTAATCAGCATGAAAACTAAAGACCCAATCACATGCTATCCCTGTAGCCCTGCAGTTCTCCCATACTCTCTTTGAGGACCATGCCTGCATAAACTATTTTTGCACATTATTTATATATTTGATC